TTTATTTATTGCAATTAATAAAAAATTAATATTAACTATTTTTTTTCATTTGTTTTATAATTTCATTGAAAATTTTTTTTTTTTTATTAAATTAAATCGAACGGGATTTTTGGGGTTATTGCAACCCTAACCTATTGGACAGGAAATTTTTTCTTTGAGTATCAAATAAAGTAAAGTTTAGTGAATATTTTATGTTTATTTATATTTATTTATATTTATTTTTATATTATTTTTAAATTTATTTATTTAAATTAGTTTTTTTTTTATTTTTCCCCAAAGTTTTAGGAGCAAATTAAAATTTTTTGTTGACAAATGCAGGATTTTTTAACCTAAAAATAGTTTTTGTGGGTGTAGTTTCGTGTATTTATATAATAATAATGTAAATTAAATTGTTTTTATCATTTTTTTAAATTATGAAACAGTTGCAATAATTTACAGGTTATAAAGGTGCTTAATTTTTTTTTTATGAGAAATTGCAAATTGAATTATTAAAAATGTTAGTACTAAGAAAACTTATATGTTTATTTTAGTTTATTTGTGAAATAATATTGCTTTCAATATTTTCAAATTTGTGTGATAAAAATTATTTTCAAAATCTAAGACTGAAAAAAAATTTTGATTCAAATAATCGGTTACTTGACTATTATTAAATAAATATTTTTTTCAATTTATTATGTACAGGTTAAGAACTGGATTAATATTTAATTATTGTCTGAAATTTAACAAAATCTTTTGAAATTCAATTATTTCTAAAAATTTTAACTGTAACTATTCCAAAATTCAATTATTTTTAATAATTTTTATAATATTCTTAAAAAATTCAATTTTATCTGTAAACATTTTTCAATTAAAAACTTTTGAAATTCATTTGTTGCCCGTAATTTCTAAGAAATTTTTTTCAAAAAATTATTGATCAAGAAACGTTGCAAAAAATTTTTTGGATTAATAAATAAATAATTTGCATAGAAAAATATTTTCTCTTCTCAATCGTTGATCATAAACGTTGTGAAATTCACCGACGTTAAAACTTTCTGAAATTTAATAATTTCAACGATAACTTTTCCAAAATTCAATAATTTTGAATTATTTTTATAATAATCTTTGAAAATTCAATTATCTGAAAAAATGTTTCAATTAAAAATTTTGTAACTCAATTTTTGTTTGTAATTTCTAATAAATTCTTCAGCAACGGAAATTATGAAAAATTTCAATTAAAAATCACTTGAAATTCAATTCTTTTAAATAGGTATGAATTCAAAATCATTGAAAATCAAACATTTTTAAAAAATTTTATCTAAAATTATTGAATAAATGATTTCACATTCTGTACAATTTAATTATTGTCTGAGATTTAACAAATTCTTTTGAAATTCAATTATTTCTAAAAATTTCAATTTCAACTATTTCAAATTTCAATTATTTTTAATGATTTTTATAATATTCTACAAAAATTTAATTATCTGAAATCATTTTTCAGTTAAGAATCACTCAAAGTTAAATTATTTTTAAAAATCTGAATTTTAAATATTTCAAAATTCAATTACTTTCAAAAAAATTTTTGTAACGTTATCTGATAAATTATTTTCAATTCTGTAAAATTTAATTATTTTCTGAAATTTTACTAAATCTTTTGAAATTCAATTATTTCTAAAAATTTCAATTGTAACTCATTCAAAATTCAATTATTTTTAATAATTTTAATAATATTCTTCAGAAATTTAATTATCTCGAAGAATTTTTCAATTAAAAACTTTGAAATTAATTTTTTGTCCGCTTTTACGAATAAATTCTTCAGCAACAGAAATCATCAAAAATTTCAATCAAAAGTCACTTGAAGTTTAATTATTTTCCAAAATTTGATTTGTAAATAATTGAATATTCATTACGTTAAAAAAATGTTTTTTAAAATTATTTTAAAAATTATTTTTAATTCTGTAAAATTTAATTATTATCTGAAATTTAATAATTTCTTTTGAAATTCAATTATTTCTAAAAATTTTCACTGAAACTCTTCCAAAATTCAATTATTTTTCGAAATTTGAATTTTAAATAATTGAAAATTTGATTACAAGATTTGAAATTAAAATTTTTTGTAAATTTAGAATTGCTGAAGATTTTACTTTTTACATTTGGTTTAAAAAATTATTTGGTAAATATTTATTTGATAATAGTCAAGTAACCGTTTTTTTTTAATCTAGTAAATTTTTTTCCAGTGTAAATTTTTTATGTTGGTTTTTTTTCCTTTCGTTTTATGAATTTTGATTCTAAAATTGTTTGATTTTTTTTTGAAAATTTTTGAGTTTTAAAAAATTATTAATGAATTAATTGTTTTTCAATTTTCCATAGTATATTAATTCTAAATATTGAAGAAAAAAATTGACAACCTTAAAATTTCGGAAGTTTGAAATTTCAGCGGTCTTTAATTTTTTTCAAATTGAAATATTTTCATTAGAGTTAGGAAAAAAAATTTTTATTCCGATTGGAAATTAGGGGAAAATAAAATCTTTGTGGTAACCCTAGAATCGAAATTTTCGCACCGGTAAAAATTTTAATGAACGATATTGATTGAAAAAATTTATCAAGTTCAACAAAATAGATTTTCGAAACACGTGTTGATTTTGATATTTTCAAATATAAAGATATAAAGAAAGAATGTTGAAATCGACTCGTATAAATAAGAAAATCCATTGTCGGCTAGGATTTAAAGTTGTAAAAATAAAAAAAAAAAAAAAAAAAAAAAAGTAGTCGGTATGGCAGTTGGATTTCTATTCAGAGAGTTTGTGACACGCACGATCCACTTCTTCCGATCAGAGTCTGTGCCTCGAAGTCTGGAGGATTATTGGGTTGTCGCGTTCAGAGCTTTTCGCAATTTAGCGATGCCTTTGTATTGCTCCAACCTTCTAAAGCCCTGAATTCTAAATCCAACATGCACCTTTTGAGTAGGCGTTTCCAGACAGTTTTGTTTCCATTATTCCAAGAAATAAACATAGGGGGAATTGACGCATCGATTTTAAAGCCAGTATTTATTCTCGTGTTGTTGATATTTGTGTATTTCTCTAAAATCCCTATTTTTTTTAAACTAGTAAATTTTATTTTATATTTAATGTTTTTTTTTTCCTTTATTTATTTATTTTCTAGATTCGATCAATGTTTACAAAAAAAGCTGAATGAATATTTTTGCTTTACAGAGTGGCAAAAATTGGAATTTATTTTGGGTAAATTGAAAATTCCTGACTGTGATTTCGTTATTGTTCTGCTGATTTCCAGGGAGACTGACTTTTTTTTTTTTTCATCATCATCGTTGAAGGGATTCTAGAGCTGTGCTCTTGACTTGTACTCGAAATTCTGGAGATGCCTCTTGGTCGACGGCGTTACACTGCCTCGAGAAAGTGGTAAAGAATCGAGACTCTGGTGTGACTATACTTGAAAGAAGAAGAAGAAGAAGAAGAAGAAGTTGGTGTATGTCGCAACGAAGCACTCATGCTTCGAGGGATCTCCTCCGAGACTCATTGAGTTTGCTTCTAGGATCCGCTTTTTTTTTTTTCATTTCCCCTTGGCTTCATTGTCCCCCCTTATAACTATACTCACAAGTTATTATACATATATACCCCGTGTGTCTTTTTCGTTGAAAATGAAAAGCACCAAAATGTAATCCTCAGTCTCCGAGTTCACTCTCGACTTCCATCTCCAGTCATATCCGGATTTTCCACTAGGTTTCTCCAGTTCCGTTTGTGATTTCAAATTCTCAGTTATCCGACCGAAGAAAATGGCGACTAAAAGCTTCGTAAATCGAAGGTTGAACGACTTTCTATTTTTTTTTTTTTTTTTTCTTTATATAATCCTCCTTTTTCGTTTCGCTTTCAAACATATCTAATCTATCGTTTGACCAAAAGTTTATTTGGTTTCAAGCTTGGAATACTGCGGAAATTGGATGCAGTGGAAAAGTGAATTTTGTGTCTTGAGAAAAGAACGAAATTTCGCATTTTCTGTAAAAAAAAAAAAGAGATGCGGCGACACATTTTATCACTGTGGGAAAAATTTATTTTTACTTGTTCCGTTTATTGTCAAATAAATTTAAATCAAATCGTTCACGGAAAAAAAATTCACCAGAAATAGCGAAAGATTTTACTAATATGGAAAAAAAAATTTCTATTGTTTCAGTTTTTTTTAACTATTTTAGCAAAAAATTACTGTTTTTAAATGAAAATTTTTTTCCTTGTTTACTTGACAGTTAAATATTTGTCTTTATCAAATAATTAAGCGATATTTATTTCCATTTTGATTCGAATGAAAATTATTTGGTTGAAGTAAATATTATATTTGATTGAAGTAAATATTTTATTTGGTTCAAGTAAATATTTTATTTGATTATAATAATAATAATTAAGATTATGTGAATCTTATAATTATTCTGGGATTGAAAAATTTTAAATTACTTACTTACTACTTTACTTGAATAAAATGATTCACAGAAAAAAATTTACCTGGAATAGCGAAAGGTTTTACTAAAATATCAAAAAATTTTTAATCGTTTCGGTTTTTTCTTTACAATTTTTGTGAAACCTTTTTGCTGTTTCCAAATGAATTAAGCGTTATTTATTTTAAATTGAAAAAATTCAAATTCAATTTATTTTACTTTGAATGAAAATTATTTGGTTAAAATTTTATTTGATAATATAATAATTATATGTGATGTATTCTGAGATTTAAAAATTCGTTTTGTAAAATTCTTTCGAGTATTCTAAAAAGATGTTTGAATTTTTCTTTTATTATAATTTTTTATTTATATGGAATTCTCAAAAATATTTTGAATTTTGAGTTTAAAAAAAAATTGTTTTTTTATTTTTCTGTGGAAAAGAATATATTTCTGAGAATTTTTGAACAAATTGAGAGTTATAGAATTGTCAAGATTGTAGGTGAATTATTTTTATAGCATTTTTTTGTGGTAAGCTTTAACATTTTTGTTGCGATTCCATTATTTATTTGACCATTTGTTACAGGGATGTTTGGCCTCAAAACGACCATTTCGGAAGTAAGGATATGCCCGTGGAGGAGGAATTTTTGGCACTACGTGAAATTTTCTTTGCTGATTTGGGTGGTGAGTACATTTTTAAGAAAACTATTTTTTATTATTCTAATTTTTAATTTAACTTGAATTTGCATTTATTGTAAACATTAATTTGACTAAATCAATGAAATTTGGGAATTACAATTGAGAAACTAGAAAATTAGGAAAATAATTTTAAAAAAAAAATAACGAATATAGTTGGAAAAGAAAATTCAAAGCTGAATTTGCATTTATTGCACATTAATGTGACTAAATCAATAAAATTTGGGAATTACAATTGAAAAACTAGAAAATTACGAAAATAATAAAAAAAAATAACGAATATAGTTGAAAAAAAAACTCAAGAAGAAATTAAATATCAAATTGGATTTAAAAAATAATAATTTTCGAAAATATTTGAAGAGGAAAAAATTTATTAAAAAATATTTTTCATAGATAATAAATGAGAAAGAATAAAAATAAAGTGGAATTATTTAACAATTTATGAAGACAATTTTAATGAAATTGAATTTTAATAATAATTTCTAATGTGCCAAATGTGATAATATATTTAAATTGAGATAATTTCAAATTAAATGAACAAGTTCATTATGGTTTTAATATACAATTTCATTATTGATTTCCCCATACCCAAAAGTCTTGGAAAGTTAGCTAGGGTGTTTCAAGTCTAAAATAAATATGCATGAGCACATTTGTGTAGTCATATCGCCTTACACCGCGCCACTCGCTTTATTTTTCACAATAAATAAAAATGACGCACTAGAGTGCGTTATGTCTATATTTTGGATCGTTGCTCTTATTTCTTATGGAAAATAAAAAAAAAAAATTTTTCCTCTCTCTCTCTCTCTCATAAACTACTTTATCTGCAGAATATACATTTTCTGTTTAACTCACTGCCGAGTACAACTGTATCTAAATATTTTTAAAAAATGAAGAGAAAGATAAAATTTGTTTTTAATTTTTTTGTTTCTTATTTATTAAAATCAGTTTTTGCGATAAAAAATTTTTTTTTTTGGATAAATATTTGAATAAAATTTTGAATTGAGTAAATTGTATTAAATTTCCTCGAGATTCTTGTGCAAAGATAGTTTAATATTGACGATCTCGGCGTGTCTGACTCTGACGATGTTTGCGTCAACTTGTAAAAGAGAAGATCGTTAATACTTCTTTAGCTCCCGATGGAATGTATTATCTCTAGTTTGCAGAGGAAGTTAGTCTCGAGAGCTGAGTGAAATGTTTTTCTCGTTATTTGCTCTCTTATTCAACTTTTCGAATGTTGTCTCTATTTTTATAAAACTCCATTTGCATTTCTCGTTTTTTTTTTTTTCCTCCTAAAGACTTTCATTATCTCGTAAAAATATAGAAAATATTTATTTTTCTCTCTTTGTTTTTTCTTCTGATTTTATAAATGAGAAGGTAGTTAAGTAATTATTAAGGGAAGGGAAAAAATGTCAGTGCTACTTTAAAATTTTTATCTTGTGATTTTAGTCACGCGATATGTCACGCAAAGTTGAAAATTTAATAAACTTGGAAATAAACAGGAGAAAATATTTTATTTAGATATTAATGTTATTTTATTTCATTAAAATCGGTAAAAATAAAAATTTTTCCTGCTTTCAAAAAAAAAGGATTTATTTAATTCGGCTATCTATTTCAGATTATGTCTCAAAACTTTTTAATCTCCACTTTTGAAGGTTTTGATAATTATTCTCTTTTTAAATTCCACATTTTTTATTCCATTAAAATTTTTTTTTTAGTGAAATTTTTTGTTTGGAAAATTTTTTTGGAAATTGGAACATTATTTTTCAGAGTGAAAAAAATATGGGGATATATAAGTTATTTGAACTTCGTATAGACATACTTGGCAGTCTTTCTGTTATGAATTATTTGTTTTCGAGGAAAGCTTTTTGGATAAAATTAGGGTCAAAGTATTGAATAATAGAGCAGCTGGTAGATTTTGAATTATTTATGTATTCTATGAAGGATATCGAGAGTGAAAAACTTGTACAAACACGTGATTTTCGTTGAGTAAGGAATATTGTGTGTGAGATCTTTCAAAAGAGAGAGAGAGAGAGAGAGAGAGGGAGGTTTGTAATATGCAGAGCATATATCATGACACAAATTTAATTAAACGCGCTACTGGGATTCATTTCATGCTTCTAATTTATGTATGAATAACTACGTTGTTTACCATAGAGCTTTCAGGAAAGCCTTACATTTATGTCCAATCTATGTATACAAGACGTTTGTGGTTCATCAAAATTTTCGTATATTTTCAATTTCTTTTTTTACTTTTTTCATCAAAAGAGTTGCCACGGATCATGGAAAAGTCAAAGCAAGTGAGATTGATCATGAAAATTTATGAAAAGTACTGCAAAAAATGCTACTAAAATTTTTTGAAAATTTCAATTCAAACTTTTGCTTTTAAAAATTGTCTTACATTTTTATAATTGTAGGCCTCGGATCGAATTTTGAAAGAAAAAAAAAAGTCATTTTAGTCATCTAAAAAGTCCATTTTTTTATTTTCAATAAATGTTTTTGTCATCAGTCAAAATGGAAGAAGAAAAATTAAATTACTGCTCTGCAATCTAAGTATTAAATAATAATTTTTTTTAAAGCAGAGATTGTCAAAAGAGACAATTGCCTTAATTCAATTAAGGTTGCAATATAATTAAATGCCAGGTGTCTGCTTTTTCTTGACGATTTCTTCTTCTTCTTCTTCTTTTTCTTCTTCTTCTTCTTCTCTAATTACACTTTGTTTTGGACTTTCGAAGATCAAAAGAGACTTTAAGAATTGTGGTCCTGAATCTTTAAGATTAACCTCTGAACTTTCAAGATCAAAACAAAAGTCTCAAACTTGAGAAAATTCTCATTCAGAAGATAAATGAAACTCAACTTAATTAGGGAGTTAATGTTTTGGAAATTTTTTTTTCTTTTTGAAATTGGGTCTTTAGAATTTGCTATATTAATTGCTCGCATTTGGTTTGTTTTCTCAATTTTAATTATTCTCCTGAGAAACCAATTAGTTCTTTATTAATAAATATTAATAATTAATAATAGGAAGTAATTATTACTTACTATTATTATTATTTTTATTATTATTATACTTTTATAATTTATATCCTATTCAGCATGATAATAATAATAATATAATTTTATCAATTTTCTCTGAATCATATTTAATGGAAAAACGATATTCTGACTAGAGTAAGAAAGTTAGTGAATTATAAAGTAAGGGAATAATACATATATAAAGCTTCAGTTTATTTAAATAATTGTTTTAAATATTCAATATCCTGAAAAAAATAGCTCGATTTTTTTTGATAATTTTATAGCTTTTAGCTAATCAGTATTATAGTAATAACAGTACAAAATGTCCCGTTAGTACATAAATAAATAATATGCTGAAAGGATATGAAAAATATTAGTTGAAAAAAAAATTGGCAAATAGTAAGAGAATATTGGAATGCTTATATATAAGTAAATAAAGTTTTGAATAATTGTTCACTTGGATTTTAGCATAGTGATGAAGATCTCTAATGATTTTCCTTAATTTATAATTCACGGTTGAGTGGGAAGTTCTGTCTTCTAGAAGACCCCATTGAAAATCAATTATACCATCCAGCGAGACATAGTTCCCTCTGTTCATCACACTTTGCCCCGTATCACTTCCGTTTTGACGTTCTACTCGCGTTCCAAGCACGTTCTATTCGAAATTCCAGAATTCAATATAGGACTTCTATGTCGCATTTAGCATTGACGGAAAAGCAATTCAGTCATGTCTCTCTCTCTCTCTCTCCTTCTCTCTCGTACGCGCGCGCGCGAATCAAGTGCATATAAAAATCGTTTTAAGCATCATTTGAAACGCATTTTTTTTCAATTGCTTCTGATGAACTGATTGAATTATACCTTTGAGCTTTATTTGTGTTTCCTGTGTGAGAGGGGACAAAAAACTAGTCTAATTTTGTTTTATTCACATGGAACATTTTTTTTATACCACATTTTAAACTTGCATTCATTTTTATTGAAACGTAGGTATATTTTCTAAATTTGAATCATTAAAAAAGTCACTGATCAGTTACTAAATTCCATCTATTTGAATCAGTGAAAATTTAACAGGCCTCGGGGACAAAATCTTTTGAAATCCAATTTAAAGAAATTACAATTTTAATTCTTCCCAAATTTAGTTATTTTTACACAGAAAAAAACTGAATTCATTTTTGCTGCATCTTATTGTGAGATCTACATTAAAATGAATTAACAGACAACTTCACGTTACTCAAAATGAAATTGTATAGAAAAACTGTAAAAATGTATGTTATGTTCTACATTGTGATATTTTCATATTGGTAGTGCTGCAGAATCTTGTAAATTATATAAAATATTGAAAAGAGAAAAAAAATGCATGAAGAAGAAATTCGTTGAATGTGATTAGTGCGACGTATTGGATTTAGTGGCTAAAAGCAAGTGTTTCATACTAGATGATGAATAATTGGGGAAAATATATGAGGCAACAGGGAACAATTTCAAAGTGATTGTATTTATAAATTATTTTTAATTTCTAAAAATTTCAACTGTAACTCTTTCAAAATTCAATTATTTTTAATTATTTTTATAATTTTCTTCAAAAATTCAATTATCTGCAGTGAAAGAAAAATTTATTTGCTTCAAATACTTGGTTACATGACTTTTATCAAATAAATATTAATTGGCATTAAATAATTATTGAGTCAATTAAATTGTATTTGTTTCAAATTAGGAAAATTTTGGTCCAAATACAGTTTATTTAATTCAAATAAAAATTATTTGGTTCAAGTAAATATTTGTTTAATAGTCAAGTAACGAATCATTTGCATTAAATAAATTTTTTTTAAATTAAAAACTTTTAAAGTTCAATTTTTGTCTGTATTTTCTAATCAATTTTTTAGTAACAGAAATTATAAAAAATTTCAATAATAATTTAATTATTGTCTGAAATTTGACAAAATCTTTTGAAATTTAATTATTAAAAAAAAAATTTTAATAGCTGGAATTTAGCAATTGATTTAAATAA